TTTGAATCTTGTAACTCATTTTTACATAATTTTCACCTATATTTGATTAATATATTTAATTTCAAAAAATTATTATTATTGATTTAATTTTGTAACCGACAAAAATTAGTCATAAATAAGTTGCCTTTTTTTGTAATCGCTTCCCAAAAGAGGGGTCAATAATTAATGACCTCTTTGTAACTCTCAAAAAATGAGTTAGTAATTAATGACTTCATTGTAACCGCTAGAAGGGTTCACTAATCAATGACCAACTTCAAAGCCCTACACCCAAATTAGTGACCCTCTTTATGACCGACCAAGAGGGGTCACTAATTAGTGACTCTTTCTGTAATCACATCAAATGTGGCCACTAATTAGTGACCTTTTAGTAACTAAAATATTAGCGGTTACTAATTTTATGACCGATTTGTGACTGCAGTAATTGGGATCACAAAATCGGTTAAAATATTTTTTTAATTAGTCACTAATAGGTTATTAAGTAATCACTAATTAGTGACCCATTCTAGAGGTCATTAACATGCGATCACTAATTCATTTTTTTGGCTAGTGAGAGAAATATAAGAGTGAAAAGAAAATATGGTTTATTTTTTATTATTTAAATAAATAAGATTATATAAAAATAAAATAGGGGTAATTTGGTCATTTCATTTAGTACACCACAAAGCAAAGATGAATTCATCTCCCCCATTGTTATCGATATTAGCGACTAAGAATAAATATTTTACTTTAATTAATACATTATTGGCTAAGAATAGACAAACTCTTCTCTCTTTTATCACTCGTTATAGTCAACTCTCTCTTTATACCTCCTCCAACAGGTAATAGAGGCTCAAGTGGTTAAATAAAATGGTTTGTGAAGGATAATGGTGGAGGCACTGCAGAACAAGGTCCAGTGACAGATTTAGAATTGAAGTTGGTAAAATGAAATAGATAACAAATTCCAGAAAACACTATCATGTTTCAAAGAACAAATTAAAAGGATTCATAACCTTTTGTATCAGTCATGTCTTAATAGTTTTAATTGAGAAATTTTAGCCATATTAGTATATACATTTATTTACTAAAAAGGTAATTAATAATTCAGAATGTACATTGGATGAGGGGGAGTGGATGTTCCTTTAATCCCATCAAAAAAAGTTCTACAACAACTTAGGAGCTAAACACCAAATTATCTATATTGAAAATTTACTGAAAAAATATATATAAATTATACTTTTGAACACATTATTTTAATTTTCACCATTGTTAAAGTTGAAGATAGTCAATGGCATAGAATTATTGGAGTATGATATTTCAAGTAAAAGGAAGTAGAAAGAATCAAATTCCATAACTAGAGCAAGGACCACCCATTTCTGGGGCCAAAAAGAAGAAAAGAAGAAGAAAAAATAAAAGAAAGTAGGAGATCCAGGATTTGGTGATCAGGATTATAATAATTAATTTTGAGCTTCCATAAATTTTGAGATCATTCAAAGGCTGTTGTTACTGCTTTTGTATTTTTTTCTTTAATTTAAAAAAATGGTAATTTGTTTAAAAAATAACAAAAATGATCTTTTTCCATAATTGTGTATGTTAACTCTTGTAGCAATACAACAAAAGTACATAACCAAATTACGAGGATTTTGGAAGATAAGGTAACATTCGTGTATGCTTACTCGTCAATATCACTCTCACTTATGAATTAAGTCAAAAGATTGAGTTTTTCTCTTGATCAACTAAGAGATCTGTTGGACTATAACATTACGAGAATCTAATCTCTCCAAGACCTTCCAGTTTAACTTCTCTTCTCTTCAGACTTTGGTCTCCCATTTTAAGAAAAAAATAAAAAAAACTAAAAGGGTTTCCAATGATGGTACTAATCAGCTTTGAGTTTTTCCCTAGCACTTAATTCACTAAATAATTTTCTAAAAGCAGCAGTATTTTCAGAAACAAAATATAATTTTTTCTTTTCTGAAATTGAAATAGTATTAAAATAACAGAGCTTCTAAGAACAGTTGATTTCTGAAAGCATCAAGGAATTTAGTGAACACGGAACAGAAACCAGGCATAGAGGTTTGAACAGCATAACTTCTCTCATCTCGTTTAGAAAAATAATGAAAGCAGTTACACATCAAATAATGTCAGGGCCCACAACTAATTAATGCTAAAAAAATTAAATAAATAAATAATAAGAGAAGAGATCAATTGACACCAGGTGTAAGTGTAAAAACTTACACCACATCTTACACCGTTGATTTGGTCAAAATCAACGGTGTAGATTAATTACAGCTGATTTAAATGCAAATTAATTGCTGAAAGTTAGTGGAAGACAGATGTAATTAATCTATACCATTGATTTTGACCAAATCAATGGTGTAAGATGTAGTATAAATTTTTTACACTTACACCTGGAGTCAATTGATCCCTTCTCAAATAATAAACATTAAAGAGAACGCAAATAATAGAGAGCACTATGCCATCCACCTACTATGAGCACTCACTTATTATTTGAACCGCCTTTTTACATTCTTAAAAGCGAACCCAAATACCTTAATTTTGTTACTTTATATTATATTTTAAAATCTTGTATTGAAATAAAAAAATAATAAAGGCTTTTTAAGAATTTACATGTATTAAATAAATTTAATATTGACTCAGTGTCCTTATTTTTTTTAATACGAAACATTTAGTTATGAAGTAGCTAACTATGAAAATTTTTTGAAGTATAAAAGTTTAAGTTATATGTAATTAATCATATTCAATATTTAATAATAAGTAAAATCTGTTTTGTTTAATTTTAAATTATAAAGCAGGCCCCAAGTAAAAATCTAATATAGATCAACAGGAATTAAAATTCAAAGGAGCAAGTAAACTAATTCTCAAATTCAGTATAGAAATGATATTAGTTTTTAAAGATTCGATTGCAATTGCAATTGCGATTTGTATAGAGATTTTTCTTTTTGTTCATATTTCTCTCTTTCGTCTGTGATTATGATTGCAATCGAAATTGATTGATTCAGTTGCAATTGCGACATAGGGGTTTCACAGGGTCTTTCAGTTTGTTTGTCTATAGGTTCCTCTTATGCAATTGTGATTTTGATGCTCTGCTCGCTTGCGTCTTTCGCTTTTGTGACTCATAGAAGCAGGAGACATAGAAAATTGCTACCCTATATAACGAGTGCCCTTCTGTTGCTACTCGCCCACGATCACCGGCTTTCTCTAGTTGTTCCGCTGCTGCTGCTTTTGTTTCTTCTTTCTTGGTGAGAATGCTTAATTTTGTTAAAGAAAAAGGAGAAGGGTATGGCGGTGGTGGAGCGGCGGGAGCAAGACAACCATTGTGGGATAATTTTTTAACCTTTTCCTTGAACTGAATATAATCTGATATTTGGCCTTAAATGTCCATTTTCATGCCAGGCCAACCGGTGCGGTCATTTTCCCTTTCCTGTTTTAGATAAAAAATTTGGCTTTGCTGATTTAACCTAAAAGAAGCTGAAATAATACCAAAAGCAATGCATTATTATCAGAAGCTTCACTTTTTTAGACACCTTCTTTTTAATAATATTTTATTTTAAAAAAAAATTGACAAATAACAGGTTCATAAATCACCATTGACAAGGATATGGACCAATAATACCTATAAGATAAGTTCTCTTTATGCCCAAAAAATAATTTAAATTATAAATTATTATCCGGTGGATAGATGCTTCCGCATGTGGCCATTTTTAGATTGGGGGGGGTCCATGCATGTTAATGTTACCCATCAAGCCAAATTTGCAAGGAAGCTTGTTTATAAATTTTTAATGTTAGAGACCCTGGTTTGGGGAAAAATTTATTTTCCATTTTTTATCAATATAATAAAAAAATAATAAAAAGATTGTCTTCTTATTAACATGTTGTTCTTATTTTCTTAGGTTCTTACAAGTATTTTTATCTATTTGACAGTATGAGATTAATCTAGTTCACATACTGTGTCTACCCTTTTTCAACAGTGCACTTTTATAAATTCGAACTTAATTCTTTATCATCTTACTCTTATTTTTCAGCACTACTAAGAATATATCTATTTTTGAATAAAAAGGCATAACATGTAATTTTTATAAATATAAAGGGACAATATGATAATTTTAAAGATTTTGTTCTTATCTTACGCGATGAAATTATTTAAGTCATTTTAGAGTGACATTATATGATATATTTAATTATTTAAGTCATTTTAGAGTGACATTATATGATATATTTAATTATTTAAGTCATTTTAGAGTAACATTATATGATATATTTAATTATTTAAGTCATTTTAGAGTGACATTATATGATATATTTAATAGAAGGATCTCTAACATTGTTCTCTAACTGTTCAAAACAAATATCCAAAAGTGTTTTCATGCTTAAAAAACATGCACTTTTAGAAATCTTTCCAAACAACCTTATCTTTCTTTAAAAAAAAAACTTGATAATTCGGAAATTTATTAATGAATTACAAAAAAATGAAAATATATAATTTTGTTAATTATCCAAAATCAATTCTCAATTTACCATGACTGCATCTGCAAGGTCTAAATTGATTAAAAAAAATAAAATTTAAAAAATTAAGTTTAAATTAATTAAATACAAGAAAAGTAGATTAATAGAGTATATTTTATTATATATATTAATAATAAAAAATTAAATTATTATTTTATATATTAATTTTTTTTTTAAACCTATCGAGAAAAGGCGGGGGAACAACAAACATAAGTCACGCCCATGGAAACAAATAATTTTCATCTTTTGTTTATTTAAACAACAAATCTATTTATATTTAAATATATATTTTTTAAAATTTACGTTTATCAAATTAACAATGACTTCAGAAAAACACGGTTGTATATTGTTCGGCAAACACAACCATTTCCCAATTTGAAAATACTCTCTAATAAAATAAACAAGAAAAGTATAAACCTTCTTAAAAACAATCCACTTCCAACGCCTTCAGTCCATCCCAATGACCCTATTTTGGTTCGGATCCTCCCAGTAATGCATTTCTATGTGGTTTCGACTCTGGTTTCTTCTGATTTTACCTGAATTTGGTGTGCTTTGGCTTCTCTGTGCTTCCCCCACAAAACACTATAAAGGCCTCCCACCAGCAGTAAAGCTCCACAAGCACTGCCTCCCCACAAAATCCCAAAAACCAATCAATGTCTTTCCATTCTTGTCAAGACGTGTATAGTAAATCAACAAGTAGTAGGTTAAGAGAATGGAATGGACCTTCCCCAATGGAGGGCTTCCTTCCACAGAATTGCAGAGCAGATGGCAGTCATTATCAGGGAGAATGGAGTGAAGGTCGCTGCGAAAACAGGCCCTTTTGCCTCTATTACCCAAACTCTCAAACAATAAGCAACTGCACTGACAATTATACCCTGCCATTTATGCCCAAACTATTAACTTAAATTCGAAATTGTTGGACATAAATAGACCACTTCATGCCGTCTTGGGTATTCTTTTTCTTTTAGAGTTTAGATTTTTATGATGTCAAAAAAGCGATTTTTTTGTAATATTTAGGTTGTGGAAAATCAATTTTTTACCATGAAAATTTTGTAAAATAAATTTCCTATTTTCTAACTTTTCTGAATTTTTATTAAAATGAGAAACTAATTTCTCTCATGAAACAAAAATAAAGCAGCACCACACAATAATTACTGTGACTTAGGTGGTGTTTGTAAATGTTTCTAAAAAATTAGAAATTGGAGTTTAAAGTAAAAGTGGGTCAAAGTGGATTATAATAAAAAGTTAAGTGCAATTGTAAAATATGTACAAGTTTTCAAAAGTAGTAAAATTGGTGTTAAAATGTAATTTTTGTAATTTGCTTATGAAGAAGAAAAAAATTTGAAAAAAAATTAAAAAAATGGATTTAAGAAAAAAATTTAGAAAAAAAATGTCCAAAACAACTTACACCTATTTACAATAATATTATCACAACTAGAATGACCTCTTTTCCATATTTCTAGAATCTTTTTTTAATTCTTATTTTTGTATTTAAATGAAGAGAAATAGAATGTAAAAATAGATTTTCAAATATTTCAAAAGTGATTGTATGTATTGATAAGCTAAAAATTACTTTTAAAAAAATCTTGTAAACAACACTTTAATGAGTTAAGAGCTCTGCTTGCAAGTATGATACCAGCTGAGGAAACGACCAAAAGAAAAAAAAAAAAAGAAATATAAAATATGAGGGCCCTTAAAATGTGATTGAACAAAGAATAGAAAAAAACTTACACAATATGCCACGGAAAGAAGATTGACATCCCATCCAAGCTTCCATGATGATGCCTTCCTCTCCATTGCAACTGCCCAAACTGCTGATTGAATGCAGCTCATCAAGCATTGCAGAGTTGTCAGTCTAATTTTTGCTGGGTTGCTTCACCAGTGGACCCTTAAAAGCAAAAAATAAAAAAAAAAAGGAAAAAGAAAAGAAAACTAAGGAAATATTGAAAGAAAAAAAAAACACTCATCTTTCCTCAGAGAGAGAGAGAGAGAGAGATAAACCTGCAGGATGAGATACAAGGACCATGCTGTGTTGGAGGTAAGCATGATGAGAGAGCCTTTTATCCAATCCCAAGTGCTTCTACTCTCAGCAGATTCTTTTGATACGTCTGTTTGGTTAGCAGCAAATATAGGAGGACCCTTCACAAAAAAAAACACCAAAGCCCCGCATAGACCCACTACAGTTCCCAAAACCTTGGCCAATCCATGCCTTTCTTTATTGAAATACTTTCCATCCTAAAATTAAATTGACGTTTTCCAAAACAAATTTCTTAAGTTAGTTTTATTTGCTTATTGAATCCATCGACTATCCCACTTTTTTATTTCTTCTTCTTTTTTTTAAATTACCTGAACAAAAGAGCCATGATGAAAGTAATGGCAGGAATTGTATTAGTGCTGGCTGCTGCTAATGTCGCCGATGTGTAATTTATGCCTACACAATAGAGATTTGAGGACAGAGTAATCCTGTAATTATGCAAACAATATAATAACTATCACCAAAGTTGATGTCAGAATATGAACTTATGGGAACAGGTACCAACCCGGGTACAGAGACAAAAAAGTTCGTGCAGAGGAACTTGAAAGAAAGAGAAGCAAAGTTCTTCCTGCATATTCACCAACAGCAAAAAATAAAAAAATAAATAAAAGTTAATTGTGAAGGAGCTAGCACAAGAAAAAGTTAAATCTGAATTTTTTGGGCGAACTAACCTTTCAAGGATTAAAGCAAATGGAAGCAAGGCAAGTGGCGAAAGCTTGCCGATAGAAGACAAAGATATAGGGGTTCATCCCTCGGGAGATTGCTGCCTTGGAGAGCAAAGCCATGCCTGCATAAATAGCCTGGATTAAGAGACTGCCAATGTAGTACTTGTTGCTTTTCATTGCCATCATCAGAGATCGAACGAGCTCTCCATTGTTGCACCGTTCTTGGCCTCAATACAAGTGACTTCTGATCCAGAAGTTACCTTTTCAGGAGAAGCCTAGCGTCCATGTTTCCCGTGGCTTGCTATATATTCCCCCCTTTCTTTATATATATCTTTACCTGACATTTATGTGTAATCAAGTTTAAAAAACAGTGTTTGGCTGCAAAAAAGTCCTTTTTGGAACAGCTTTCAATTATGCTAAAACAAAGGATAAGATATTTGTTTGAGCTCTGGATGTGAACGGGCAAACCATGAACAAACTCATTAATTAGCTCAGAAATCTTTGTCTAATAACAATCTCTATCCCTCGATACTAATCTTTGCCCACTAGACCTGCCTAGTAAGGAAGGATGTGACGGCTTTTTGGCCTATCAGCATGCAAGGGAAATGTTATGCGTGGTTGTCATATATATAATATATTTTATCTTAGGTAGTATTCAATCTACCCTCTAACTATCATGGTAATAACATTTTCTTTTATAAAGTATGAAATATAACAATTTATTTCTAAAATTATATTCACAATTTTAAAAAATTAATAGTATTAATATACGCATTTATATTATTATAACATTTCTTATTGTTATTCTTAATTTACCATAATATCTTTTCACGCTCATATCTTTTCTTATGCATGCAAGCATTGATGGATAGGTTATTAATTAATTATAATTTTTTAATTACAATAAAAGTTGTTATTTCAAATTGGTTGAGAAAAATATTTTTAAATTAATTATTTTTAAGTTAATTATAGTAAAAATTATTTTTATACAGACAATATTTGTTAAATTATTAACATTGAATAATGTAAGTTAAGGAGTTAATTTAATTAAATTTATTATTCTTTTTCTATGAAAACTTCATAAATTGTGTGATGGATAGTTGTTAATTGATTATAATTTTTTTTTATCACAAGAAAGGTTGTTATTTTATAGAAAATATTTAATGAATTATGGACAGAATATACATTGTAGATTTAGGGGTGTTTTGGTAATTTAAACGAGTATATTAACTCAATTAGTTATTTTTAACTATGAATATAAAATTTAGGGATTAAACTGTTACTTTTTATACATAGGAGTAAATGTTACGATAATAATAGTTTAAAACCCTTTATTTTTATTGTAATATTCCCTAATGATTCAAGAGCTTGGCATATTAGAACGTAAGAGGAATATTTACTAGCTAATAAAGTAATGACATGGACAATTGAAGTCCCCATAATGACAACAAAATTTCTATAATAGAGTCTCTAAGCACTGGAATCTTTGCTTAAAAAGAAAAGGATGTGCCGAAAATTTTTTTAGTACAAAGTGTGAAAGGAGATTCCTTCCTCCACCGAAGTTTAAGATATTACCTGGCACAGAACTGGTTGAGTAGATACGCACTAGATGACAGGCTCAGAAGAAAAGAAGTGGGAAAGAATTAGATACTTTAACATGAATAAAGCTTCTGTCTTCCCACCCCCCACAAATAAAAAAAAAAGAAAAGAAAAGAAAGAAAGAATGTAACAAATTGAGAGTTATAAAACTTAGCAATTTATTAAGTTTAAACCATCGGTCCAAAATAGTTAAACCTAAATTGTTTAATAATAGTCCTTAGTTTCTGATATATTATATTATATTATTCTCAGAAATTTAATACGAGATAGTATATCATCATATCTCTCACTTAAACACTTGATCCTTTTCAAATTATAAATCTGTATTTGTATCTAAACAGAATATGTCTAAAAATCGTTTTGTCCTGATATCATTAGTAATGACCCGAGAGTTACTGAGTTTAACAACTTATTAAGTGTAAACTACTAGCTCCAAATACTCAAGCTTAATTTATTCAGTAATAGTTTCTACTTTCTTATATATTATATTATTTCATTCTCAAAAATTGATATAGAACGGGGTATTATAAAGAAATATGGCAAAGATGTGTGGATTGGTTTTTGGGAGCAATAATATAGTATAAATATTGTCCAAGCTAACATAATGACAAATCAGCAAAAGTAGATTAAGGTTGTCAATGGGAATATATGGGTATAAAATTCTTTCAGTAGATAGCCTAGTTGATGAAATATTTAACGAAGAGCAAAGGTGTGGTTTTGTTCAACACCAAAAATAAGGGAAAAAGAAGAACAAAAAGGTCAACAAATACATAAATAAAAGATGCTTTATTACAATTTTAGTTAAGAAATCTAGGCAAATTAAGCGGTGTTGAATGGTTAGACAGAGGAATTTGGAATGGTTGAGGAGTAGCGATTGGCAATGGTTATGAGGGAAAAGAGCCAGCAATGGCTATGGAGGAAAATGGCAAGCAACGACTATGGATGAAGAGGGTTTGGGGTTTTTTCGAGCAGGGAAGAGGAAATAGTTGCAAGAAAGGAAGAAAGTTTGGTTTTTAGGCGAGAAAGATGAGTTGCAGAGCTTTTTTTTAAGGGCAATATTTTTTTTTTTTTAAAAAGGGCATGCAAGATTTTCTCCTTTTTAAATATATTACAGATAAATTTATATAAATATATATTTTATATTGTATATATTATATTTTTTATTTTACATACAAATATAATATATATAAATATAAAAATATAAATATAATATTTCCCGCTGTTCAGCTCTCTCAACTTACTCCATTTGACCCTCCCTTTCCCTCATCTTCTGGCCCATTCCTTTCTCTTTCCCCTCATCCTTTCATGCGTCTCTCACTCTGTTAACCCATCTTTCTTCAAAAGAGTCAGTGCTTACCGGCAACATCGCTAACAAGCTATTTTGTCATTAGAACCTAACACCAGGGTTAAAGTATTTAAGTAAATTACATATCTCATTAATTTTGACCAGTAAAATTAATATGAGCTATTAAAACTAGGAGGCTCAATTGATAAGTGAGTAATATTCAAGAGAGGTTAATATAAAAAGAATAGGAGTATTTTCATTCAAAAAATTTTACATTTCCATAATTCGTTTGATGTCAATAAAATTTAAATGAGCAAGATAGTAATTGTTAAAACTCATAGGATTAATGATCTATTTTTTTTTTAATTTAGGGATTTAAGTGACAATTTCGTAATAGTATAGGGTTAAAAAGTTAACCCATAAAAAAGAAAACACAATTGAAACAAAAATACGAAATTTAGCCAATATGACACTCATTCTCCCTAAAATATGGACAGCTACTGAAACTCATGCTCCACCGTAGGACACTTTTGAGTGTCCTCTTTCCATTGTTGATTTAAAAGGTTACTATTAAATAATTTAAAGAAACATCTGCAATCCAAATTATATGGATTTCAGGGTTGCATGCATTTGCTGATTTTGCTTCCTTCCTTTTAATGTTAAAGAAGAGGGGCCTGGTTTGACAAAGACTAAACAAAAAGAAGATGGTCCTGGACTTTCTTGCATGGCTAACCCGAGTCATAGCGTGGCTGTTGCTATGCTAGAGTTTGGCCAATCGTCTACGACTGTTTGCTTTGGAATGAAAAAATCTAAAACACTTACACCAAATGGGACGTTCGGATGGAAGATAGGATCTAGGGTGATAAGATAAGATTGGATAAATTTATCCAAGTTAAATAGTTTTATTGCACATTCTTTTAACAGATACTAAATGGGATAAAATTTTTTAAAAGTAGGATAAATTTATGAATTTACCATAAAGCGCTCTATTTATTTTAAAAAAAGAAAAAAAACCATTGATAGACCTAGCCGATTTGGATCGCCGTCTTCTGTTCCTCCTCACCTCCACCGACCAACTCCCTCTAACCCTTCCTCCCTCATTTTCGCCTCCACCCACGTCGAGCCCATGCCCTTCCCTCAAGCCCTACACGATATCTATGCCTCCGATTTGGGCTCTGCGCTTGTGGTGATTGTGATTGCTTTCAGTCGGCGAGATCATCTGTGAGTCATCTGCATCATCAACACGGATCGGATCGTCTATGTCGTCGTCGTCTGCATTGGGCCCAATCGGATCAGATCGGATCATCTCCCTCTGACCCTTCCTCCCTCTGCATCATCATTGGCAACGGCTTTATCGTCCCCCTTTGACCTTTCCTCCCTCTATGTCGTCGGCGGCAGCGGCGGCTCTATCGCAATCACAATCGCCCAACACTACAGTCGGAGGCGAAGTGATGGGAGGAAGACTGCTTTTTGTAGTCATGGAGGAGGACAGGGCATTCCTGTACAAAACGAAAATTTTTCAAACCTTTATCAGGAGGTATAAATTTTATCCCCCAAAATCGGCTAATAATTTATCTGGATACACTGATATGTATCCTTATCCGGATTCGTTACATGCTAACCGAATGTGTGATAAGGCAGGATAAACTTATCTTATCCTGCCTTATTATGCCAACCGAATACTCCCAAACTTGATTGTTTGCTTTGGAATGGAAAATATCTAAAACGTTTTACACCAAATCTTACATTTTTTATTTGATCAAATTTAATAAATAAAAATTAATTACAGTTATTTTCACTATATTAATTTATAATTATTTTTATATATAAAATTTTTTTAACTAAATTAATAGTGTAATATTAGTATAAATATTTTTT